GGAATGCCCTGTATGAGGAGCTCCTCGTTACAACCCATCGCACTGGCAGGACTCCAGATGAAACCTCCTGCCTCTTTGCCAGCACTGCGGAGGAGCACCAACTGTGCCCCAGGGCAGGGGTCCTGCTTTCACCCGAAAACATCAAAATCCCTTCTAATTCTAATCTAGCTTATTTTTAAAACATAGTTTGGATAATGTTATTTAGTAAACACCCATAATAACAGCAATGAAAAAAGCCTGCAAGAGGAGAGGATGGCTACGCCTAGGCGTGAAAAGTGAAAACTGCTACGTGAATGCATGCAGTGCAAAAAATGCCTTCTCTCCCATTTTCTGGAAAAGCCTTGAGACCATTTCTTCAAACTCTGTTTGTCCCCGCAGACCAGAGGGGAGTTCTCCCACTGGCACTGCTAGGAGGGACAGGACAGGACAGGACTGGGACCAGTGTGCAGCCATGCTGAGCATCACTAGGCACCCACACTAATGCCCAGCTACATCTTATTGGCTGCCAGCCTGATGCATATCCAGGAGCAATGCTCTGGTTTGGGAGCATTCCTGTGCTTGACATTTATTTCACTCCCAAATGCCCCTGACTCCCAGCTGCCATGGCCATCTTTCATCTCCCACCATAACTACATATCACGTCCCAAACGGCTTACGAGTACACAGGCAATGCTGAAGCACTTTGTGAGCCAAAAATCTCACTGACCTGTTTTGGTTTGTTGTTTTTTTTTTTTTTCCCCAGGGAATAAAATCAATGTATGAGCTCACATTTTAGCTTTGGCATGCAAAATTCTGTCCACGCTGGAGCCATGGGTCTGCAAGAGGCATCCACTAAACACAGACCCCTGTGAGAGCAAGGGCAATGTCCTAAAATCATATTCAGGACTGGTTTCTGCACTGAGCACTGTTCAAAATGATCAATCCTTGTGAGACAGCTATGACAGTGAGGATGTAAGCATGGATCCTGTATGAACAACTTTTTCCAGGTCTCAGCAAATCTGCTGGGAGTAGGGTAGAGTGCAGCCAGCAAATGTATTAAATATATTTTATTCTTGTCAATCAGAGCAGTATAATAAAAAGGAAAACACTAAGCTGTTGCCACCACTTGCAAAGGAAAACTGGGACAAAGAATATATTGATCTACCCTCGCTAAGTATGCAGGTGTATTTATTTATATCCTGCTTAGGGAGCAAAAGCGAAGCACACACAATTAAGAATATTTCCAAGCAACCACCACATCAGGCCATTCAAAGTACATGCATACCGGTGTACCATGGAAAGCCAAAGCCTGGCCTCCAGTAAATGGGCTGAAAGCACTGCTCCTAAGATCAAAATCCAGCCTACAGGTCCTAACCGTTCCCACAGGGAGTGTGCATTCGTTGTATCAAACAGCCTTGCCCTGTTCTCAATCACGCAAAAGGTAATCCCACCATTTAATACCCAACACACCCATCAGAAAGAGGAACACTGAGCTACATCATACTCTTCCCATGTGTGGGATAGCTGGAGAAGGCTTTCTACCCAGACCACACCACTTACAATGAAGCTGCATCCCCAGAGTGGCACTTTGTGCTCAGCCCCCACTGTGGACCCCTGACTCACAGGTGTGCCAGCAAGAAGAGGCCTCTGCAGTGGGACTTATCAGGTACTTTATCCACTCTGAAACGCATTTAGAAAATCCCAGCTTTTTCCAAGAGCTCCCCGGAACACATCAGCCATGATGACCCCCAAAGCCAAGCTGCTGTCTGCTGCCAGCAAGGAGCTGCTGGTATTGCAGTGCTTCACTGCTGCTTTTCATAGAGAATTTAAAATAGACTTATTTTCTACTTCTGTTTGTACTTTCACATGCAGACATGCCAGCAGCCATTCCCTACATGTCCCCCAGCAAATGTACTGTGGCTTCCTGACCATCCCCAGGCATGAGAGCCCAGCATGAGCAGGGGGGATCCAAGCATCAGCAAAATCCATCCGTGCTGCAAGTCTGAGTGGCATCTGTCTCCACACCAAGGGGTGTGAGACGAAGCAGGGACCGTGCCCGCGATGCTCCCCCTGGGCGATAGAGCCAAACCCAGTGAGACAGCTGTCAAACCCAGGGTGACCGCTTCAGTCTGGGGTCCACCTCCCCCAGGGAGGCACAGAGCCCTTGGCAAGGTAAGATCCAGCAGCATGGAGGGCGACCATCCATCCTCTCCATCCCTCCAGGGGAGCACAGGTGGCATTTTGCCCAGGTTCAGAACCTGCTTCTGAGTCACTTGGAGGAGGACACCCAAAAAGGCATGTCCCCCTACCCAGGCTTCAAGCAGGAAAACACACACCGCTGCAGTTCTGTCTTCTTCCCACCCCAACAAGGCACTCAGCACCTCTATAAGCCCTTGGCTTACCAACATTTTAAGGACAAGGGGGAAATAGAGAGGAAAGTCTTTTTTTCCTTTTTTTGCTTATTTTGATCATTTTGAGGCACAAAATGCATACAGTATAGTTTCTCTCAGAACAAAGGGATAGCACTGAACAACGCAAACAATTTAGCATCAGGCCAAGTCCTCAGAATTAATAAAGTTTAGCACTAACAGGTTAAAAGGCTATTCAAGGTATTACAGAAACTGCACACGGCCAGTTACTTTGAATATATGCTATTAATATTATTGTCTAATATTAATATTATGTGAATTAACAGCAGCATGCAGGTGACATAAAAAGGTATAAGAAAAATTAGGGTAAAACTCACATCCGGGTGTGGAATAGCGTATTGTCCCTGAATTGTATAGGCCTGCAAAAGAAAAAAAGCACGTTATTAGGGCTGGCAGGAGGTGGCAGAAAAGCCCCATGCCTCTCCACAGGGACTGCTGTCCCCAGGGTTTGCTCCTTTCTGCCTGATGTGGGATAAATGCTGTTAGTGCAGGGCCTAAAGAGGAGCGCAGCCCCCACCCTGCCCTGCCCAGGACCATGCGCTGACCCCAGATAACTGAGCATGGGGAGCTGAGCGTTATGCCACTGGCATACCTCTCCCTGTGCTCCACTGCTGGTGAAAGCAGGGTGTGGGAATTTGAATTTTGACTTAACTGGCTTGGTTTTGAGGCTGGAGGGGGATGAAGGAAGCACTTTCCGCACAATGAGCAGTTGCCCTGCACACTCCCCTTGGCTAGCCCAGGAGAAGAGCCTCCTTGTTCTGCGTTAAATTCGCTGGGGCAGTGAATACTTGGAGTGGGAGGGAGATGTATCCCTCTGATCAAAGCCAGAGCACACTGGGCCACCTAACTTCAAGGGCTTGGGGTTAGGTTGGCTCTTCCAAAAGGAAGGAAACAGCTCTTTAAAGGTGACAGAATTGCATGGAGCAGGAAGACTGGTACAAAAGATACTCATCAAACCAGAATTGTCTGTGTAGCAGATGCATGGTAACATCACTACTGCCTTTTGCACCTAAGCGTGATCCTAGGAAGCAAGCCAGTGCAATGAGTCTCTCCATATTTTCAGGTGCACAACTCTTAACACTCTTTACACTACCCAGTATATTCCAGTACTTTGTTGGGGTTATAGGCATTGCCGTGCAGAAAGCCAGCTGGGTGGCATGGTGCTGATGTCTCACCAAGTGAGGAGAGGGCTCAGGGACAGGCTGCCTGCATTGAAATGCCTTTCACCAGCTATAATTGACAAATACATGCAGATGTCTGTCAGGCAAATTATTTAGTGTTTTTAACATCGTTTCTAGCAATCCTTTCTTTTTGTAAAGAAGCTCAAAACAAGCACCACTGTGGGTAAAGAGCCAGACACTAGAGAGCCCAATATTTAAGACTTAACCAGCTAGCAAACTGTATCCCACTGGTTGACACATTATTCAGATGATTCTGAAAGAAATGGCAAAAGAGATGGATAACACTTTAAAAAGGGAGAGTAAAGATAGCCAAGAAAAAGGAAAAAACCTCCCTGAAACTCCTGCAAATTTTCTGCATTGTTTGCAAACAGTGAAGTGCTTGGTGTGAGGAAAATCCCCAAAATCCTGTAGGAGGAAGGAGGCAAAGCCCGGCACATAGAAAAGGCAGTTTCTGGCATCCTGGCACAATGAGGACTGGTGTGCCCATGGGGACATGGCAGAGCCTGCTCTAAAAAGTTCACTTTTTGTGGTGGTTTAATTTGGTCATTGTTTTTTGATTAGAACAATTGATTAGAAAAGTCTAATTAAAGGCAGGAAGGTGTCTTGGACAGATGCAACCCAACTCTGACAGCACCCGCCTGTGTGACCCCCGGCTTTCTGCAAGAGGCTGACATTGCACACAAACAACGGGGCTGATCCCTTTGGCAGTTGCTATCAGCCACTGCATTCCTCAGCCTACCAAGCTACTGCAGGTTCAACCCACCCCAAAGCATCTCGCAGCACCACTGACTGTCACCTGCTGTCCTCTGCCCATGTGCCCTGTGCCACTCCTCGGGTAGAGCCCAGGGGCTTGCCAGCACTCTCTCAAAGGTGGCAGGGAAGAGGTCTCATTTGAGATGGTCGCTTCTTCCCACAGCGTCACTTCTGTGCAAGACACCAACCGTTCACCAGCAGGAGAAAGGCTACCTCAGTATTACTCTCCCTTTTGAGAAGATAAGTTCACCAAGAAGCTGGACTCAAAGCTCTTTTCCAGGACAGCTGCTCAGACCTAATGTTATGCTCCTCCCTATGCTGGCAATGACTAAGAGATGCTAATGTAGCACACTGCCTGAAATAGCCTGTGCTTTGGGATTTGCTCCCAGCCTTAGTTTGCCTTTCTGCTATTTATTATGGTTGGGGAGAAACAAAATAACTTGTGTGGTGCCGCTCTGGATGGCATTAGCTGTAACTTCATGGTGCTGGCTCTACCCAGCTGCTGGAAGTTCCTGGGAAAGTACTTCTCCTGCTAGGTACTGGTGCACCACAACATGATGGGATCTACAAGCATGGCCTCAGTCACCCGGTGAGGTGAGTAGATGGGGCGGAAAAAGCAACGGTTCAAGTCCCTTCTTTAGAAGCAGCCACATGCTCAACTAATCGTTTCATAAATCACATGCCGTGGGAGCCGATTTTTGTTTGCAACGGCTATCCTGCAAAGAAAAAATCTGCCATCGCTTCCCAAGGGTCACTAGAAATATCACATCATGACTGCAAGCCTGCAGATCAAGCACTGCACAATGTCACTGAAGGCAATGCAATGCAGGCTCTCCTGTGGGCAGAGCTGAGACCCAGCTTTGCAGCAGAGGTTATGGCCTTTTTTGGGGAAGCAGCACCCGAACCCACTGATCACCAGTGATGTGGATGACCCTTTCACAGAGGCTGCCCTGAACAGAGGCTCAGCACAGTCCTGGAGTGGCTAGGAGGAGCCCTTCTTATCTTAGACCAATTACAACTATGCAAAGTTATTTTTAATTGGAAAATAAAACACTTGCAGCCACTGTGAGAGCATGGTCACAGCCTCTTGTTCAATGAGGTTTTACTCATTTTCTCCTTCGCAGTGGTAACTGTTGGCAAATACTGAATTTAGGTCTAATGAAGCAAACTCCAGCCTGTTCTTGGTGCACAAGTGCCCAGCAGAGCTAACACCCTGTCTCCTGGGGCTGGCCCTTTCCTTATCCTTCAGCAGCCACCACAGGAGCTAAGCCGGCTGCCCAGGCTTGCAAACTGCCAGCGGTTCTGCAAAGAGCTTTCAGTCCACCTGCCGTGGCACGCAATGGATGGGATGACACCATGCAAGTCAGAAGGCAAGAAACCTGAGTGCACTAACGGGCAGCGGCTGGTGCTGCAGTAAAAGGCTGAGGTTGGCAGTGGAGGCTGCAAGCGGGTCGGCTCTTACCTGACCACCTGCAAAAATGACAGGGGTGGAGGCGGGCTTTGGGCGGTAGGGAATGGTGGCACCTTTTGGTGGGGACTAGGAAAAGGGACAAGGAGAGGGAGAGAGAACATTAGAACAGCTTTCCTGAAACGGCGGCAAAAAGAGCGTTAGAAAGCACCCGACAGAGCACGGCCCCCGGGGCCGCCGCCAGCAACACCCGCACCAGGCAAACCGCGTTTCTGGACAGGAGAACACAGGGGGGGAAATTGTTGTTTAATGGACAACGAGGACAACCTCAGGTACAGGAGATCCCCTGGCAAGGCACGTCCCCCTAAATTGCTTCCCGGATCTCTGCTGCCTCCCTTTGCGTTTGTTCTGCTCTCCACAAACTGTGTTGCCTGGTCTAGTCTCGAGCGTGACGCTGGAATGCAGCGCCCTCCTCAAAACACCCCAAGGAGACCCTCAAGGTGCAGTGAGATGGGGAAGTACACTCACAGACCAGGCTTTTCATCCCTGGATGCCATAAGCCTCCTTGTGTGGTGGCTTTCTTTGTGGCCTGAGAGTTCTTGCATGTCAACAACCCCACCCCCCCG